CACACAAATTTGAAGAAGTTATCATGGACGAGCCACAAGTAGGAAAACTTGCACGTGTGGTTCTGGTCGGGCTTTCTTGAGGTATCTAATAACCTTGTTTCTGCTCACCGCCAGTGCACCTCTCATAACTATTGACCATTTATTTTGGAATAATCTTTTCTGAAGGGATACTTATGGATAAGAAAAAGAAGAAAACTAAAGGAGAAATTTGTCCAATAGTAAAAAATGGTGCCTCCAAAGATTGACAAAAGACTCTCTCGAATACCTTGAGAAGAGAATCATTGGTTTGACCAGTGAACTATGTGGGAAATAGACCTTTTTAATTTGATTTGAAGCAATATTTTTTGAAAGTAACCATTTGTCATGCCCAAACCGGAGGAGGCATGGCCGGCACCCGGTGCCATACTCGGCCGAGCGTACCGCTCTATAACAGTAAACTCCAAGAGGTAGCCCTTAACTCAGGATGACGAGGCCTACCGGCAAGCTGACAATACCAATCAACACTGACAAGGTCATATTCTAAATTATCTGAAAATAACATTTATAAAATATTAGGGATATACATACCCAAAAGCTCATATAAATATCTGTGCCGGCGGACGAGGCTTCCATGAATGTCTATAACCAGCAATACCAAACTGAACATGTACACAGGGCTGGCAAGGCCACAATACTGGCATACAATATATACAGGATACGTCTACAAGCCTCTTGAGATAACAGAAATGTATAATGGTTAGGGTAGGGTCCAGACCTACCCATCAAGTCTGTATATATAAAAGAGACTCCAAAGTCTGGACTTGGTAACTCCTAGGGAGTAGAGCTTACAAATCAAGCTGATGTCTGGATTTATCTACTAGGAAGGTGTATCCGGCTATTTATCACAATTCGCAGGCATGAAATGCAACGTCCTCGAAAAAAGAAACATCAGTACGAAGTAATGTACTGAGTATGTAAGGAAATAAAATAACTTAAAGCTGAAACTGAACTGATATTATAATAATTGGAAGTAACTTGGAGTCAAACATGATTTGAATATATGCTTACATGCTGATACTAACTCAACTCTATCAATATGGTTAGTAAAATAGTAATCCGGCCCTATAAGGCTCGGTATAAGTAACTGCTTGGCCGTAGTAGGTTCGTTCATCGGCGCTCGGACATACTAGACTCAGTATCTTAATCATTACTTTGCCATTATGGGCTCGCTTATAGGTGCTCGACCACATTAGGCTCGGTATATAACTTACCAGCTAATCGGAGGTTGCCCCATAAAAGACCCGCCTACCGATTATAGCTCGGTGGTGGTGAAATTACTGTAATACTGTATATATGTAGTCCTCTGGTCTCTTGACTGACAGAAGACAATAATTAACTGAATATAAAGTGCCAATAAGGGAGAATACTATAACTTATGATACTAGGATAATGTACATAAATTCAGGAATACGAACTTCTCTTTATGTCTCATTATCAAAATGCGTTTAGTTACGGGATCATACCAAAATGAAGGAATGGGTTAGTCTTAAAATACCTTTGTTTCCTTGACACCAAAGTAAAACCTAAAGCAGGTCAAGATATACTTCAATCTACACAATAATAAGGGCATAATACATCACGAACGAAACTACCACTTAACATGACGAGGGACAAGCTCGGATTGAATCCCGTGTGAACCCTTTAACCCCAAAGTCATTTATTAATTAAATTAACAACATCTCCAACGTGATATTAAATTTCATCTCCTAATTCACCCTCAAACATCCTAACAATCCGGCACTAACAGCAAGTACAACATTGCATTATTATGTTGTCCTTTCTCTTCTTATTCATAGTAGCAACAGCAAGTTCGACATGTACACAATATATTCATAATAACAACATCATAAGAAATTCATTTCTAAGGTTTTCAACCATTTATATTTCTTGGGAACAACCCTTCCAAAACAGTCTATTAAGAACAATAACATCTCAAACTATATCAAGTATCCTCATGTAGTATATTTCTCAAATAATGCAAAAAACATACAAAAATTTCAAGCATAGGTAGTAGAGTATTACAAATACCTAGCCTAGTATAAAACACTTGAAATTTAAGCAAAACACAACTCACAACAATCATCAACGACAACACAGCCTTAACGAGGTGTTGTTCTTCACTAGAACGAATATTTGATTGCCAAAATTAGATGTAATCACGTGGATTCGCCTTCAAACCCTTATGGAACTGTTACGGAACCATTAGAGAGTGTGGGGGTGAAGTATGGTCGGAATAAAATGACCAAAGATCAGCCCTAAAATGTAACTAAAAGAGCCTTAATGCGACAACAACACGATAGAAGAACTTTCCACTATTTTTACAGGGTTCTTGATGTTAGACTTTGGTGGTTTACCTTAGAAATAACCCTTAAAACTTTGAGAGGTCTTAGAGAGACTTTTGGGAGATATGGTGTGTGCTCTGGCCGAAAAATGAGAGAGATAAGGGTGTCCTCCATTTTTATAACAAAAGGATAAGCTTGCACCGCCTAGGTGGGTCCCATAGAGGCTGCCTGTGCAGTATCACGATAATATGATATTTTATACTCCAACATTGTATCCACGAATGATCCAATGCGTTGGAAATAGGACTCATGTATATTAGATTTGGTGAGTTTTCACCCTGTAACTCATAGTATATTGAAAGAAAAGCTCGGTGACATTAGACCCAAATTTCAGTAAGATTATGAACGTATCTTGCGACAACTTTTTTCGGCTATTATTTTACAACTTGTTTGACTTCAAAACATAACATACAAATTTTATATGATTCAATTATCTTTAAACATGAATTCCTTAGCATATTATAAACTCCTAGCATTGCCCTGAAAGTACGGGTCATAATATCTTTGATTCGTTTAGCCTCCAACCCTCGTAATACTTCCATAAAACATGTGTTAACTCATCATTATCTTTGTAAAGGTCCATAAGCTCCCCGACTTATATTGATTCACTTAAGACACATTCCATTCAGTTTGCTTTCAGAAAACTTGATAGGGGCGGATTACTTCGTTATGCGCTGCCAGCGGCCGCAACTTAAAGGTGCAGGTTGATATCTTCGGTTGAGGCTGTAGTCATTTGTTCATACTCAACTTATTTGGGTATGATGGGCTAATCTGGAGATGTTAATATACTTATTTTGGCCGAAGTAATGCTTTATATCATGAACACATATTCGCACCTCTATTTATTATGTCATTGTGCATATTATTTAATATCTCCTTAGCATATTTATATATTATTAGAGATGGAGATCTGAACACTAATTAATACGATTATGGAACAGTGGGACATTGTGAGTGGAATGATATTGTTATCGGGCGATGGCTTATGCGGTGCAGTTATTCTGATATTGATATGTTATTGCACGATAAATTTCGTGAAGCTAGAGTCGTCCTTTCGGAGTCAGGTGATCACCTAAGTTATATTGGGCCCTATAAGCGTAGGTGATACGCGTATCGTGTTGGAGTACATGAGATATGCTGGATTATGTTGGGGCACATTGGATATGATGAATATTATTTATGATTGAGTCTTGAGGATGCCTAAACTTCCTAAACTCATGTAGGAGAATTCATATTGGTTTTACTTGGTGCATATCATCTTTATATGCGAATATAACAATTGAATTATGATTTTGTTATCTTGTTCTAAGAAGCACACTTATCCTATCTCTGATTTGTGAACCTTACTATATATGTTGTTCTTGATTACTTTTTTAGAGATTCTATGTTGTTATGAACTTTTTCGATGTTAGACTGGATACTTATTAAGTACACATTATTTTTTGTACCCATACTATATTTTTGCATATTTTGTACAGACTCCGATATTGATCCCAGTGGTGTCCAGGAGGTTGCCTAGTAGTTGACCATTGGAGACTCGCGGTGAACTGCTATTAAGGGCTCGCATATTATGGAGTCTCCTTCCTTTATTTCATACTGTGTATCTTTAACTAGACGAAAATCTTGTATTATAAGACTCAATTGTATTTCATCTTAGCAGATCATGACTTCGTACTACCGAATTTGAAAGAATATTATAGTGTTTTCCATATTTGTCTGATGATTTGAGAGTCATTTATGTTTTATCTATATTATAACAGTAGATTACCCCTCACTTGTCTTGCTTTGGTTGGTTATAAATATTGACTTATCTAGTGAGTTGAGTTAGGTATCAACGTAGCCACAGTGAGATTTGTGGGGCGTGAGAATAGGTGTATCTTTACCTAATTTTAATTTTTGAAGCCATCATTTCCAATAAAATAATATTCAATGAAGATTACAAGGGAAGTCGACCAAACTAGTAGGAGTAGTAATGTTTTATTTCTAAACCGACCATGAGAACTGCACACGTCTTCATTTGTTGAACTTAAGAAGAGATGAGTCACATCTACAAAAATATCTCCCCTCTACCCTATTTTATATACATTACATTATAATTACAATAGTAGTTGCGTTGTTAAAATATTTTAATTAAGATGGGTCTACAATGACATTATTAACTGATACAGGAATCCCTTGAAGTTTGAATATGATTGGGGCCAATTCTTACGTAGTTGGCATCCATAGAGAAACTATGGAGTTTTGAAAGCTGCAAAAGCCCATTTTCATTTGGGGATGAGGCAAGACAATTCCACTTGTGTGAAGCCGGCCATTAAAACTTGATTAAACTTGACATGTAGTTCCCATAAATTACTGCTTCGAGAAGCTTAAAAAATTGCGTCTTCCTTCGTTTTTTTTTTTTTTTTTTTTTTTTTTTTTTTTTTTTTGGTAGGGTTGTGAAATTGTCTGTTTGCTATTAAAAACATGAGAGTTATATTGACGGGTATTGTGGAAATTCAATTCCCTTGTAAAGCATACTACACGCAAAAAGAAATATATACTGCTAGTCTATACATATAAATTTTTTCTTGTCCAAATAAGACTAGATTTTCTTTATCCTCCGTTAATTCAGTCTTCAGTATGGGGAAAGCTGTTCTTCTTCCTATGTACCTTGAAGAGTACGTATCAAATCAATTCATGCATGTTCGTATGAGGAGAGGGATAATAATTTAGATCTTCGATAATTATTAGCATGAAGGTGAAAATATTTTAAATTTAGGTTCATTTAGAAAGATGAATTAGGAAAGAGGCAAGGAAAGAGGCAAAGTTGGCAGTCACGGCGGCTAAGACTGCAGCTTTTGAGCGTTTGTATGAGGATCTTGCAATTGGGGGAAAAGAAGGCGACACGAAGATGTACAGGTTAGCCAAGATTAGGGTGAGGAAGGCTCGGGACCTGGACCAAGTGCGGTGCATCAAAGATGAAGAGGGTAAGGTTCTGGTGGAAGAGGCGTATATCACACGTAGCTTGTAGGAGTACTTCCATAGACTCCTGAACGAGGGAGGGGAAAGAAACATCATGCTAGGTGAGTTAGAAAACTCAGGGAGTCAGAGGGATTTTGGTTTTTGTAGGCGCATTAGGAGCGAGGAGGTTGAGGGGGCTATGTGGAAGATGAGCAGGGGTAGGCAACCGGGCAGGACGAGATACCAGTGAAATTTTAGTAAGAAGTGGGTCGTGCAGGCTTGGGGTAGCTTACTGGTTTGTTTAATGTCATTCTCAGGATGGTGGTGGAGAGAAGGGTGCGACGTAGTGTTACTATTTTCGAGAACCAGTTCGAATTTATGCCAGACCGATTTACGACTGAAGCCATTCACCTTGTGAGGTTATTGGTCGAGCAGTATAGGGAGAGAAAGAAGGACCTGCATATGGTATTCATTGATCCAGAGAAGGCCTATGAGAAAGTCCCGAGAGAGGTTCTACTGAGATGTATGGAGGCTAGCAGTGTCGCGGTTGCGTACATTACTATGATTAAGGACATGTACGAGGGAGCGAAGGCCCGGGTAAGGACTGCGAAAGGAGACTCGGATTATTTCCCAATGGAGATGGGTTGCATTAGGATCGGCTCTTAGCTCGTTTTTGATTACCTTAGCATTAGATGTGCTGACGCGACACATACAAGGGGAAGTATAATGGTGTATGCTATTTGCTGATGACATAGATCTGATTGACGAGACACGCGGCGGAATTAACGCTAGCTTGGATGTTTGGAGACAGACACCGGAGTCTAAAGGTTTCAAGTTGAGTAGGTCATAATTTGAGTACTTGGAGTGCACGTTCAGTGGTGGGATGCATGAAGAAGAAGTGGAAGTGAAGATTCATACTCAAGTCATCTCTAAAAGAGATAGTTTCAAGTATCTTGGGTCTATGATTCAAGGCAACATGGAGATTGACGAGGATGTTACTCCTCGTATTGGAGCGGGGTGGATGTGTGGAGGACAAGTTGTGCGAATCGAAGAGGAGATTGTTCGGGCATGTGAACAGAAGAGACATAGATGCTCCAGTCAGGAGGTGTGAGGGGTTGTCAATGGCGGGTCAGAAGAAGGGAAGTAGTAGGCCTAAGAAGTATTGGGGAGAGGTAGTTGGGCATGACATCTCGTTGCTCCAGCTTACCGAGGATATGACCCACAATAGGAAGGTGTGCATGTCGAGGATTAAGGTTGTAGGTTGACTGATAGTAGTGTGTTCCTCCTAGGCTTACCCAACGTACTAGATTTTTGTATTATCTTATCATGGTTCTATATTATTAGATGTTGTGTTATTTATACTCATTACCATATTATATTGTTGTTACCATTGTTTGCTACTTGGCTGCTTTATCTTATCTCCTCCCTGAGCCGAGGGTCTAACGAAAATAGCCTCTTGATCTTTATAAGGTAGGGGTAAGGTCTACGTACACACCACCCTACCAAGACCCTATTTATGGGATTACACTAATTTTGTTATTGTTGTTGTTGTTGTTGTTGTTGTTGTTGTAGAAAGATGAGTCATGTCTGAAGTAAATGATATCAAAGGCCTTTATCTTAGGCATTTGTCGCGATTTTCTTACCATATTTGTCTTTTCCTATTCCTTGAAGGAAGTGCCACATATTTACCATAATTAGTTTTTCCTTTTCCTAAATGAAAATTAGTAATCTCCTATATTTGGCTAGTCCTTTTTATTGGAGAAAAAGGGTTTAGTCTTTTATGAGGATACTTCCTTGTCATTCATTAACATCCACAATATAGTCCATAAGGGGTATGGGAGTCTTGTTCAGGGGGAGAATTTGCGAGACAAGTGTTATGCTATCACTTGTGTGTGCCTCTTTGTGAGGTTGTTCTCTCGATATTTTATACTTTTTTTTTATATAATGGATTGCTTATCTCCGCTGTGGATGTACGTATGTCAATTGACTGAACCACGTGAAATATTTATGTCTTGTCACTAGACAAAATCCCATCTTAAGAATCGTGATCGATAGCACCTAGTAGCTAAAACTAGCTAAGCCAATCTCTTACAACAGTTAAGTAGACAAACATGATATTTTGAAGCAGAGTTTAATATAAATGCCGAAAAAAGGTTAAACAAGCCAACACGACAATAATCACAACAGTTCCCCAAGACTAGGTAATACAAAGTCACGAGCTCTAATTGAATACCTAAAAATATCCCTAAATACAATATTGTTTGGATAGAGAGTAGACGGTATAAGTGTAAGGAAAGGACTCCAAGGGTCTGCGATGAACAAGGCAACTCTATCTTGAATCCTTGCATTCAAAGAAGCTCACACGGCCCGGGTCAACTATCTCCATCACCTGGATCTACAAAAAATATCCAGAAGTGTAGTATGAGTACACCACAGTCGGTGCCCAGTAAGTATAATGACTAACCATAGTAGAAAAATGACGAGGTTCAAGTCAAGACAATCACTAATTAAATAACTTGTGCTGAATACCAATATACAACTAACAATTGAAAACAAAATACATTAATGGAAACAATAATCATGTGAAAAAACAACAAAATAATCAAAGCACATAGGAAATAGAAGTTAAAGCAACTAAGGAAAAGAATGACAAATCTAATCATCAACCGTACCGACACCAGATTTACAACTAGAATCACCCCAAGGTACCATACGTCACAATCACAAATCACAAGTCACGAATCACGAATTATATACACATGGAACCTGGTGCCCACATTACCAATTACCTTCGCACGGTAAGGACCTCCTGCCACAACATAAGTCACACTCGCACTACAAAGTCCTCGTACCACAATATAAGTCACACTGGCATGACACAGACCTTGTGCCTCAACAAATTCCACAATTGTACGACAAAGACCTCGTGCCACAACGTATATCGTATCTGTGTCAATTACCAATAAAATATTAAAAGAGAATTTAACAAAAATAAAATAAAATAAATCATGATAACAATTTCTTTATTAGAATTTATCAAAAATAAAATAAACTAAATCATGATAACAATTTATTTATATAAATCTGTTACGTAACCCAAAACTCAACAAAATAAGAGATAATTACTCCAGATTCGCACATTGAAAAAACACAGCAAATCACGTAAAATGCATGACCCACATAAGAAGTCACAAAGCGTTCCAACACAAAAATAACAACAAGAGTCACTATAATGTGCCACATATCATCCTTATCACGCCACATTATCATCATTTTTTAATAATATTTTTCCCAATATAGCTTGACGCGCATTAGCTCCCTTATCTCGTCGCATGTACATCAAAATGAAGTATTTTCCCTTACTTGCATCACACGCATAAGGACCCCCTTATCTCTCTGCATGCGCATCAATGTGTTTTGATTTAAAATTCGAGTCCAATTCTACTCTCAAATCTCAAATTTTAGATTTTCAAAATATAGTCAAAATCCCCAAAAAGATCTCTTATATTCTAATGCATTAGATGTCAAATCTTATAAACAGTCATGTTATGTAATAAAAAATGGATCAAAATTACTTACCCAATAATTTGGTATGAAAATCACTCCTCAAAATCGCCTCCTACGGAGTCTAGGGCTCAAAACTATGATAAATGAAGCTATGCCCCGAAATCCCAACCTTTTGTTCAGTTATGAATGTCGCAAATAAAATAAATACATCGTAAAAGTGATGCATTTATGACCGTCCGTACGGTGACACAGATCTTGATGGCACTTAGTATCCAAAACTAGGAAAGATGATCACTTGCAATAATTAAGCAGACAAACATGATACTTTCAAGAAGAGTCTAATATAAATGCGGAATAAAGGTGATACAAGCCAACAGGACAATAGTCACAATAATTCCCTAAGACTAGGTAGTACAGAGTCACGAGCTCTAAATGAATACATACAAATATCCCTAAATACAATACTATTCGGATAGAGAGTAGAAAATATAAGTATAAGGAAAGGACTCCAAGGGTCTGCGATGAAAAGGCAGCTCTACCTTGAATCCTTGCATTCAAAGAATCTCACACGGCCCATGTGAAAGAACCCTTGTATGAATACTCCACGTAGGTAACAACCAATTCATCAAGTAGTAACGGTGACACAGATTAGCACATTAAAACAACGCAGCAAATCACGTAACAGGCATGACACACCCAAGAACTCACATATCGTTTCAACACAAAAATAACAACAACAGTCACTCTGATGTGCCACAGATCATAATCACATATCATCCTTATGAAGCTGCACAAGCTTCACATTTTTAAAATATTATTCCCGAAATATATTCAGGTGCTTTAGCCCCCTTATCGCGTCGCATGTGCATCAAATACCATTGCTTTGGAGCTTGTTTCAATCCATACATGCTCCTTTTCAATTTGCAGACGAAGAATTATTTTTCCCTTAATTACAAAACCCTTAGACTACTCTATATAAATCGCCTCACCTAAACTACCATGAAGAAAAGCAGTCTTTGCATCCATATGCTTAACCCCTAAATCTAGATATGCGGCTAGGCCTAGAACCATACGAATAGAAGACATCTTCATAATAGGGGAGAAAATTTCATCAAAGTCGACTGTTAGCTTGTATGGGTCCACCAAATCGTAGAGTACCTGGTCCTCTACAAGTTTCTGCTGAGAGCACTTAGTAAGGCAGTAAGTAAATGAGGCAGAGGATTTTGACATGGAAAAATCCCGCACAAGGGGATCAAAAAACCACGACCTACCCTGTAGGCTTTTAACTGCACTAACTTGTAATCTTACCTATTACAAGCCACTTTACAATACTTCCGATTGTAAAGACTTCAAACTAACTTGTGGCACCTTTACCACAAGCCACTTTGTGACTATCCTAGTTACAAAGGCTTTATCTAACTTGTGGTGCTATCACCACAAGCCATTTTGCAATACTACGATTACAAAGACTTTTCTTTACGACTAAATCTAGCCACAACCTAAACTCAACGAGTCTGAGGATTTACAAGAGAGTTCCTAATCAGTAAACTTCTAAGTAAGCAATTTAGGAGATATTGTAAGTGCAATAACAAGGTTACAACTCAACTAGGACAGCGATAACCAATCATTTTGGAACTGGTCCGTAGTGGTGTTCAACCTTGTTCTTCAAGCTTGAGAGAATGATCTTTTCTGTTTTTGGTAAAGGCTTGAATGATGAAACTGAAACCATTCAGTCATGTTTTTTATGAAAACCTCTTTGGTACATCTTGGTCACATCACTTGGAATTATGTGAGTACTTTGTTTGGTTAGAGAATGAGTGGGCTGACAGTGTGGTGCAGTGCGGCAGAAACAGTGCCACCAATCACTTCAGTTCCAGCTGTGTCCAAATGACTTTGTGCTGCTATATAGGAACCACAGGAGCATCAGGTCCTTGTTTGGTTCCTAGCTCCTATATGTGTAGCAATTCATCTTTTACTGGAGTCCGTTGGAGTTTGCAGCAATCCAAGGTAGATCAGGTTCCCTAACTGGTTCTTGTCAGAAAGTTTGTTAGATCATCAAAACATAAGGTAAGAATATTTAAGATCTATCAGTTTCCCCCTTTTTGATGATGACAAACTTAAACAGTTATAAGGTTAGAATTAAGGCATCAGAGAGCGGTGTCAAAGAGTTCCCCCTGAGACGATGCCTTCAGTTACACAAGAACCAATTCCCCCAATGTGGTTCCCAGCAGTGTCAAAGAGTTCCCCCTGAGACGATGCCTTCAGTTACACAAGAACCAGTTCCCCCAATGTGGTTCCTCCTGAGTCCTATATTAGTTCATTCTTTTTCCCCCCTTTTGGCATCATTAGAAAGAATAAAAGTGCAAAGAATTCCAGCCAAGCTTACCCATGCCACATATGTGCACACAAACATGAGGAAAAATAGAAGACAAAGAGGAAGCACTAGACAAAATAAAAGAGAATGCATATTAATAAATTTTTAATATGCCTCTTCCTTTGAAAAAGGAAGAGACAGCATTTGACTTGTTCACGGGAGCAGTAGTAGTAGTACATCCCAACCACACAAAAAAAAAACAACCACCAAACATCAACAGAAAAGAAATA